CTCAGTGCTTTGTAGACAGTAGCTCCTATTTTTATAGCTTCACCAAAGAATCGTGTTTTCCATGTGATGAAACCCAGGTTCAAGGAGGTTGTTTAAAAGGTTACACAGCTCATTACTGGAGAGCCTGAGATTTTAACCTCAGCCTTAAACCAGGGCTTTTCCCTCCATGCCTTGCTGAACGTGGAATTAGAAAGGAGGCTGGATGGGGCTGGGCGGTGCTCATTCCTGTAATCTCAGCACTTTGGGAGGCTGAGGCAGGCGGATCACGAGGTCAGGAGTTCAAGACCAACCTGGCCAACATAGTGAAACCCTGTCTCTACTGAAAATACAAAAATTTAGCCGGATGTGGTAGTGGGCATCTGTACTCCCAGCTACTTGGGAGGCTGAGGCAGGAGAATCCTGCTTGAACCCAGGAGGTGGAGGTTGCAGTGAGCAGAAATCACGCCATTGCTCTCCAGCCTGGGCGACAGGGCAAGATTCTGTCTCAAAAAAAAAAAAGAGAGAGAGAGGCTGGATGTACTGGGATGCTGGGCAGATGATGGTACAGACCTAGTTCCTGTGCTCAGGTCTAGGCTGACGATGTGTTGGGTGCAGTGGGAGGGAGGCTGATGAGGCATGCCATGCTTGATTCTTATAGGAAAAGAAGCTGGAAATGGCCCTTTTGGAAAGGGTTTTCCAGGCAGAGGAAATGTCCAGGGGAGGCCCTGAGGACTGAGCTAGCATGGTATTTGTGACCATGCCAGTCCCTGGGCAGCTGCGTTTGAGGGGGGTCCGTCTTGGAGGGCCACGTGTGATGGATGGGTAAGAGCCACACCTGCCTTCAGCCTGCTCCAGAGACACTTAGTATGCTGGATATGATGCTGGGTGGGGGGCTGCAAAGATACAGCCAGCATGGACGTCACGTTGAGGAACATGGGCTGTGGACGAGGCAGCATGGATCTGGGGAGCGTGCGACACGGCAGGGAACCTGAAGGGCCACAAAACACACTCCAGCACGTCTGGAGATGGGGAGGGAGTTGTGAGAATCAGGGGAGGCTTCCAGAGGGATTTGAGGTTGAGGGGGGTCTTAAAAGAAGGGGAAATTTGAATAGACACAGAAGAGAGAGGACAGTAGGGGGCAGCGTGGCAGGAGGGGCACAGTATGTTGAGGTAAAAAGTCAAGCATGTTACAATAATAGAATGCACGTTCCTAGGAGGTCCCGTCGATGCTTCACTGCCACCTAACAGGGACAGCTATCCATGGGTCACTGCTGGATGGAGCGCTTCAGACCAAGGTGATGAGATTTGCAAAGGGATGTGGGGTTTGGGCCTTTGGGTGGTGGGAGAAGTGGGCAGATGGGAATTGGACTGGCAGAAAGGAGCCAAGAAGGAGCTCCAGGTGGGCAAGTTTGGATAAGAGAATAAGTTGAGGGAGGAACAGAGGTCTGGGAATGAGGCAAAGTGCAGGGGCCTTGAATGCTGGGAAGCCACTGTGGGGCTTTCTTTGGCATGTGGGGGCAGTCCCAGGGCCAGCACGGTGGTGGTGGTAGATGGTGCTGGGGAGGCAGCTGCAGGCAGAGTGCAGGAGGCCTGTGGTGCTGGGGTGGATGGGGTGTCTGGGTGGCTGCACGGAGGCTTCTGGAGTTTCCTGCAGTCACTGGCACCCAGGTGATGCAGATCTGTAGGAGGTGGCTGTGGCAGGAGGGAGGAGCCTGAGGGCCTGAGTAAGAAAGGATGAGACACAGGAGGTGGCTGTGGCAGGAGGGAGGCGCCTGAGGGCCTGAGCGGTAAGAAAGGATGAGACATGTGCTGCTGTCACTCGCTGCAGGCTAGCACAGAGTCCGCAAAGCAGGTGCTTGTGAATAATCAGATGATATTGAAGAAAACTGTAGAAATATCCAGAACCTGCAGCGTCCCAAACCCTCACTGCTGATGTGAAGATCTGGTCCAGATTCTGCAGACTGAGGACTTCCAGAAGCACAGATAGAAAATAAACGGCCTCCCGGTACACACACTCAGCATAGAGCCCAGTCATCAGCACTGAGCTCTTAGAAAACACAGTCTTTCAAAAAAGATACTCAATATTGAAACAACAAATGCAAGAATCCCCAGGAATGGACAGTGCAGAAAGCATGAAACTGAAGGATGCAGAAACAGTGTGCGTGACATGAGGCCCGTCCTGGCCTTCGGGCTGGAAGGCAGACAATGCGGGCTCTGTTAGAATCTGAAAAGAGGCTTTTGTGTTGTGTTTTGGGGGATGAAAGATATGATAATTGTTCCAAATTTCACCTGAAAGGAAAAAGTGGAAAGCTGGGTCAGAATGATTTTTCAGTAGAAAAATCCCGAAGGAAGTCTGACCTCGCCAGATATGAAAATGTAATGCAGAGATTTATTTACTGCCTGGGATGTTTAAGGCAAAAGTCCTTTTAAAAGGTTAGGTTAGAAACAACAATGTCAACAAATACTGTGTGTGCCGGGAAGGGCCCGGGGAGCTTCCTGTCTCTTCTCCCTGAGCACAGTTGGCAGAAACAGCATGTTTTAATGGAGGAAAAGCTGATGTGGTCTCTGGTTCCCATGTAGACTGCCAGTACAGCAACACGGAGGATTTCTGACGCATACATCTCACCATTCTAATGGTATTTTTGATTGCTCCATTATTTTTTAGGCCACCTGTACCTTTTCCTATTCCAAGGAAAATGTTTCTTAGGGGTATCCTCAAGGTTTTGCAGAAGTACATTTTGTTTTTTTAAGTTAGATCCCACGTTTTTTTGGGAAGCCTTATAAAAATGTGTGAACACTAAGACTCATCTGGTTACCAGATAAGATACGTGAAGTGAATAAAAGACTGTAGTTTTAAGAATAGGACTGGGCATGGTGGGTCACGCCTGTAATCCTAGGACTTTGGGAGGAGGCTGAGGCGGGCGGATGGCTGGAGCCCAGGAGTTGGAGACCAGCCTGGGCAACATGGTGAAAACCCCATCTCTACAAACAATACAAAAACAATTAGCCAGGAGTGGCACAGTCTGCAGTCCCAGCTACTCAGGCTGCTGAGGTGGGAGGATCCCCTAAGCCTGGAGGCAGAGGTTGCAGTGAGCCGAGATGGCACCACTGCACTCCAGCCTGTGCAGCAGGGCAAGATCCTGTCTCTAAATAAATAAATTGAATACATAATTGAGAGGATCAGCCAGTACCTTTGGTTGCTGGCCAAATAAACGAATCAATATTCAGTTAACCATAAATTATAGGTGATCCACAATCCCATCTCTTCTTGGCCCAGTTTAGGTAGCTGGAAATCAGTTTTCTTTGGGGGATATAGAAGGAGATGGTGATGACGTGATCACTGATGTTTATTGAGCTCTTATTCTGTGACAGCCATGGTTCTGAGAACCTTCTGTTTATTGATTAATTCGTACTGCAAACCTGTGCATTGTCTCCATTTTAGAAATGGGGAAACTGAGTCACAGTGGGGTTGAGCAGCCTGCCAGGGTCACAGAACTAGGAAGTGGCAGGCCCCGGATTCGAATGTGGGCATCCTGACTCCAGAGCTTTGTCCTGCGAGTCCTCTCTGCTTTATGAGTAACGTTTGTCTCTGTTGATCATCTGATTCCTTTTTTCAGTCTCTAGTATTGACCTAGAGATGGCTCTGGGATGTGATTGAGTACCGACCCCAGAAGGGGTGCCCAGAAATGGCCCAGCACTGTCATTTCACCTCTGTGTTATCCCTCCTATGAAGCCGGTGGTCATCTCGCCTTTCCCATTTGGGTGCATTGCTGGTCATGGGAATGGAACCCGGCCGTCTCCCCTCCGCCCCCCGCCATTCTGTTCCCTGGTCTTCCTGGTGACTGACCGGCCACGGGCCTCCTCTGGGGTGACCCAGGCACTCCCACCCGCTGTGTGGAGCTTGGCTTCCTCAGGCACAGTGAGGAGCCAAGGGAGGTGGTTCTTCGGCTCCTTCTCCAGCTCCGGAGCCTCCCTCACTTGTCCGTCATTCTCCACCTGCTGTGTGGAGGCACCGTGTGAACCCACAGGCCCAGGCCCCGGCCCTGGCAGCCTCCCGCACAGGTGTGGCTTCTGGGAACATCCTGACAGTGCCCCCCTCACTCTCGCCCTCATTTATGGGGCTGCACAAAGCGGTGGCCTTGTGCCTGCGGTGCTGAATCACAGCGGAAATGTTCAGAAATTCCATTAGGATAATCTATCCCAGACGGAGAGCCCTGCCTTGGGGCCTGCTCAGGGTGCTGGTGGCCCATTAGGGCCTGGCGCCCGGCCAGAGGCCACATTACCGCGGCTTCTGCACTGTGGATTTGTCTCAGGCTCCTTAATGAGGCCAGGGACTTGAGTTTTCTTGCGCGTTTGCTTACTTTCCTGCTTAAGGGACCACCAACCTGTGGAGCTGTGTGAAATGCCCACAATAGCCCATGACTCAGGGGATTGGCATTTCTCACAGTCCCCGAGGCTTGGGGGCAGATTTCCTCCACTGCTCTCAAAATAACCAGGTTTGATTGCAGCCTCAGAGAACATGTTACCCGTTCCTTAAAGTGGTACGAACCTATTCCTTAAAAATGTCCCTCAAAGCTTTAGAGGAAATCATCGTTTCCGGCTTCTCCTCGGTGTCTTGTTGATTCCTTTGCCAGATAGTCCTGGGGCTGTCAGAAAGAAGATGGGAGGCTGTGGCTGCCATTGGGCCGGTTGTGCTACCTGAAGCATGAAGTCAATGGCTGGTGCCCAGCTGGGTGCTCACAGGTAGTAAAGGTGACGTGTGTCCCTGCCTGCTGGGATCCAGCCATTGAGAGGGGACACAGGTGAGGGACAGCTCCTTTTCTAGTAGGAGCTTCTTACTCTCACAAGAGAGCTCTGCAGTACCATTTTGGATGAAATTACCAAGAAAATTGACTTTCATTAATACGGCCTCGAGGGCCTGTCTGCAGGATTCGTGCTTTCTGAAATTTGTATGCAATACCATGGTCTCTGTCCTCACTAGGAGGCCTAGCGGTATCACAGGGGACGGGCTGAGAGCTCGGGCTGCCTGGGTTTGCATTTTTCTCTTTATTGGTGAGCTGTGTGCCCTTGACCAAGATGTTCTCTGGGCCCCAGCCTTCTCACCTGTGCTGTGAGGATGCAGCCGTAGGCCCTGCATTGGGGGTGGCTGGGACTGCATAAGTTACAGACATGGGAGTGACCATGGTGCCTGGAGCTCAGTGTCAGCCAGGTATGGGAAAGGCCTAGGAAGGGGAGGCTGCGGGACTGTGTCTTGTCCCCTGAAGTGGGCTGGAAGCCCCATGCAGGGCTAGCTCCTGTCTTGTGTACCTCAGAGTCCTGAACTCTATGAAGCTTTGGTGATGCTTTGGAATTCTCCTGGAAGAGCTGCAGAGCTATTCCCCTTGGATGGGGGGAGGGGAAGACATATTTTTCCCCGGGCATCAATGTACCTTCTGTTCTAACATGGGCAGCTCAAGGGAGAGTCCCGGTAGTGCCTGAGGCTCGCAGCTGAGCTGGGCTGGGATCTGAACTAGACCAGGATCTGAACTAAAACCTGGTCTTCCTCCCACACCCTACTCTGGTTCCTCAGCTGTAGGACGCCACCCCTTCTGCTGCTGTCATCCTCGGGTGCAGACCCTTGGAGCCTGGCTTTTACCCTGAATGTTCCTCTGATTATACAGACCTCAGAACTTTCTCGGCAGTGGAAGCTGTTTGTGTTTCTGGAACCTAAAATGCTTGGTCATGAGGGTGTGGGATTATGGGGTTGGTGTCCTGTTTCCTGGCTTCTGCCCTGAGCAAAGGGCTGGGGCTCTGGACTCTGGCCCCTGGACATCCCCCATCCACACGTAGTGCTCTGCAGTCACTGCTGCAAGCAGGTCTGCTGGGTGCACCTCTGGGAGAGCACCTCATGCCTCCTTTCTTCCAGCTGCCCATAGGGTTCTCACGTTCATGGGACCACCATGTTGAAATGGATGGAAATACAACTCGATGAGGTTTGCCCAAGCTGCCAAGCCTCTGCTCAGGTGTGGGAACCCTGCCCTATTTTTCTGCCCAGCTCTCAGCAGTAAGATCAGCATTTCCCAGTGGGCTCTGGTTCTGGATGCCCTTTGCCATGTGCAGTGTATTTATTGGAACCGGAGTTAGTGACTTCACATGTTAATCTAGCAACTGAGAAACTGTTGCATCCAGAGCTGCCAGCAGCCCAGGGGGTCTCCATGAGTGACTGGCTGGACAGGTATCCTGGTGCTAAGCCCCTCACCAGCAGGCTGGGTCTGCTGGGACTACTCTCTCTTCAGCTCTGGGATCTGAAGCATAGATGTGAACAGCCTAATGAAACTCTATAATTTTAGAATTTGGGAGCAGACATAGTCAAATAAATCACTTAGTTTGGTACTTTTCACCATTTTATCAAAGGAGATAACAAGATGCCAGTTTGGATGCAGTGAGGCCCCTCCTGGGGGTGGCTGCTGACGAGGAGCGCTTTAGCACTGCCTTGTCCATCTACCTGCCTTCTACTTTTTGTCATCTCCAGGATGACCCCCTGGAACATAGTTTGAAACTATAGATGCAGTTTGGCTGCCTTACAAGTGTCAGTCCCTGCTCTGCTCGTCAGCAAGCTGCCCCCTCAGCTGTGACTCCAGGAAGACCCCAGTGAGGATGTAGCTGCTCTGGGGCCCTCTAGCCGGGGGTGACATGCCATGCCTGGGGCCCACATCTCTCCAGTGCCCCCTTGCTCCTGCTCCTTTTCACCCTGGATGAGAAAGCTTTCTAGAAGGGCTTGGCTCTCCAGTACTGCCAAAGCCCTAGCCTGGTCATTTTGTTCACTGGGCTGGAATGGGTTGAGTGCCATGCTGGGCACCAGGGAAGAGGTAGTGAGCAGAGCAGGCAGTGTGGCCCAGGTCTGCTGAGCCTGGTGGGTGGGCTTGCCAGCCCTGTGGTGCAACCTTGCCAAAGGCTCCTCTTTAGGTAGAGGTCCTAAAACATGTCACAGTGTGGTTATTGGCCACATACCACATAATACATTTTATTAGAGGCACTTCTTACACTTCCATTTCCTAATGAATTATCTTTTAAAATTATTTTTACAGGGCCTTATTGGAAGGAGAAAGTAATCCAGAGATAGTGGTCTGGACTGAGCACACTGAAAACATGCCATCAGGTAAATAAAAGCTAACTATTTCACTTAGCTTTAAGCATCTGAACTGTTTATTCTGTGGTTAGATAGTGAAGCACCATCATCTGGAAGAACGGGTTAGATGTGGTGTTTAGATAACAGGAGTTCATCTCTCATTTAAGTACCAAATAGATTTTAGTGTAATGTGGCATAATTTCAGTTATGTGCATGAGAATGTTTCGGAAGGTGCTCAATAAACTTGGTCCTTCCCTCGACGGGATGTGGGAGCAGAAGGGGCTGATGGCAATGGGCAGTGTGGGGGCGACGAGGGGTGCACGCGAACTTGAGTTTCACGCCCTTGGAAGGGGCACTCCTTCCATTTCCAGACCACGGGGTTATGGTTGTTACACCTGTAGAGGGAGGTAAGGCCTTGGAGGGCTGGCAGGTAACACTCGGGAACCTGCTGCCCTAACAGGGAAGAGAGGTGGGAGTGGTTGCATTGTTTCCACCACTGTAGGTTGGTGTGGGCAGCTCAGGAAAACGTGTCCTGGTGCCCTGAAGACTATCTTACTCAGGTCAAGAGCCTCAAGACAGGGCCCATCCTTCCTGTGGCTGCAGAACTGACATAAGAGAATTAATGTTCATTAGAAAGACCCTAAGAACCTGAGGGATAACTTGTTTTTTAAACTTTTAAAGCCCTATAGAATCTTAAAGAGCTCTGGCTAAGCCAGGGTAGATTAAGTTACATATAGAATGTTGAGCTCAATCCTTCTGCATCATGGTTTTAGTCCTCATTGTTCCCTTAGGCACCTCATGGATTTGACAGGTCACTGGGTTGAGAATAATATTTGGGTGCTAATCATATAAAACTGGAAGGGATCTGGTCTTAGATAACATGCAGCGACTTTCCTTTCTAATTTTGAAAGTAAGTTTGAAGAAAGCAAAGACATTCATGGAAGGGTAGGCACTGGTCAGCCTGCCTGGCATCAGTTAACATATGACATCTACAAAACAAGAATGAACTCCCCAGATTTCAAGGTTTACTTAGTTACCTAAATTTGTAACCTGTGAATACTTAAGTTTAGACATACATGTAACCTAGAGAGAGGGGAGAAGGAAGAAAAGGGCCCCGGAGCTCCCAGAAAGACCAACAGCCTAAGCCAGGGCCTTGCTCAGCTTTTACCAGTTGTGATTTTGGAGCCAAGGGAGAGCACATGGAGAGGCTGACAGCTGCTGCCGTCAACTTGCTTCATTTATTTGTTATTTTTCAAGCTTCTTGAAGGAAGTGGAGAACTTCATGTTTGTAAACTAAATGGATTTTGGCAATTACATATTATGCCAAAAGCTTTAGAATAAAACTTATTAGTTGTGAATTCTTTTATTAGACTTTGAGCTTCCAGATAGTTCTGTTCTGTGGAATGAATGTGCAGGTAATCAATACTTATTAGTGTGCTTGTGTTTCTTTTGTAATATTGCATAAAATAATGTTGGCCCCTTGCCCGCTAGCTGACAGGCCTAAACCCAGCCTGTAATCTTCCATATTTCCTGTTGAATCTTAATTATAAATGAGATGGTTCCTGCACTGTTTCCTAGGGTTCATCTTCTGGGACTTCTCAGTTTAGGATCAGTTGACCTAAAAAGAGGAGCTCTGTAGAAAATGTCCTGGCCTTGTCTCTTTCCTGTATTTTGGAATCTGTCCAAAGAAGGCCTCTGGCCTTGGCTGCCGTAAGGGAGAGAGAAGGCCCTGTCTCCGCTGATCCAGCCAGGGTGTGGGTGGACACTGGGGCCCTCTCGGCATGGACGGTGCTCCTGCTTATGTTCTAACCACCCGCTGCCATTCCTGATGAGCAGTTTACCTCGCTGGGGTTTGCACCCCCCAAAGGGTAGCACTCTTTGCAAACAGCCTAGAGCAAAGCTGGAAGCCCTGATGGCTGCCTCCCAGCTCAGGGTCATGACACTAAGACAGATCGGGGTGTTTCTGAGAACACGGGCACCTTTTCAGATGAGAAAGTTGTTAAGTGTAAAAATAAAAGATCAGAAAACTTAACAAAGTTAAATTGCTTGATATTTGTATGGAAATCTGGGAAGTTAAATTATTTAATATTTATATGGAAATCAGTGAAAAATAAGAGCATATTAAATAGTGGAGGATAATGCTTTTGGTGTTTAATAATGACATACACTGTAATTATAGAGCTCTTCTTTGCTGAAGTAGTAAATCAAATTTAACAAGAAATTAATGATTTCAAAATATAAGATTGTGAAATTTTAGCCACGGAAAGTAGCACCTCTGACCTATCTGGCATGTGCATTGTGCTTTACGATTAATGTTAAGATGAGTGAGTATCTTAACATCAGTAACTGGAGAAATGTGTTAGGCTAAAGTATTTGTAGCACTACCTTTTATTGTAACAGGATTTTGTAAATGGCAAAAAAATAATTTGAGCACTGACTATAACTTATTTATGATGATCTTTCTGTGGTAACAATATTTATTTATTATGATGAAATGAGATTTGACCTGCAATGATGCTTTTAGATGGAAAAGGGTAATGATGCCTGTCATTTTAATGAACTGTTTATTCAATTTCTACAGAATTCAGAAACAAATCCTATCACTATACCGAATCAGTATTACAGAGAGAAAATGAAAGAAATCAATTTTCAAGGCAGAAAGCAACTTTGGCGAGTTTAAATCATGGCTCAGCTCTGTATTCTAGCCTGTCAGGGCACCGTGGATCTCAGACGGGCACATCTATTGGAGGCGCTGCCAGAAGAGGCTTCCTGGGCTCGGGATATTCTTCCTCGGCCACTACCCAGCAGGAAAACTCTTACATCAACAGTCAAACCAGTGTCAGAACTTTCTTTCCAACCTATGGCCCTTTAAGAAATACTGAGGCTCAAGTGAAAACATTCCTTGACAGACCAAAAGCTGGAGATACAAGGGAGGTCCCCGTTTACATAGCTGAAGATTCCACAGTTGCCCGCCAGTCATCCCGGGAATGCCGAGACAATGTGGCGGCAAGAGCTTTGGAAAGCACACAGTCAAATGAGAGGACCATCATTCTGGGAAAGAAAACAGAAGTGAAAGCCCCAAGGGAGCAAGAAAGAAACAGACCAGAAACCATCCGAACAAAGCCAGAAGAGAAAATGTTCGATTCTAAAGAGAAGGCTTCCGAGGAGAGGAACCTAAGATGGGAAGAACTGACGAAGTTAGACAAAGAAGCAAGACAGAGAGAAAGCCAGCAGATGAGGGAGAAAGAGCCACTGAAGGAGAAAAGCGTGCGAGAGAGAGAGATACCGATTAGTCTAGAAGTATCCCAGGACAGAAGAGCAGAGGCATCCCCGAAAGGTTTGCAGACCCCCGTGAAGGATGCTGGTGGCGGGACTGGTAGAGAGGCAAAAGCAAGAGAGCTGCAGTTCAGGTTGGGCACTAGTGATGCCACTGGTGCGCTGCCAGGCGATTCCATGACAGAAACCGTAGCAGAAAACATCGTTACCAGCATCCTGAAGCAGTTCACTCAGTCTCCAGAGGCAGAAGCATCTGCTGATTCTTTTCCAGACACAAAAGTCACTTACGTGGACAGAAAAGAGCTTCCTATGGAAAGGAAAACGAAGACCGAAATAGTCGTGGAGTCTAAACTGACCGAGGACGTTGATGTTTCCGATGAAGCTGGCCTGGACTACCTTTTAAGCAAGGATATTAAGGAAGTGGGGCTGAAAGGCAAGTCGGCTGAGCAGATGATAGGAGACATCATCAACCTCGGCCTGAAAGGGAGGGAGGGCAGAGCGAAGGTCGTCAATGTGGAGATCGTCGAGGAGCCCGTGAGCTATGTCAGCGGGGAGATGCCAGAGGAATTTTCTGTCCCATTTGAGGTGGAGGAGGTTGATGATGTGTCCCCAGGCTCCGGAGGGTTGGTTAAGGAAGAGGAAGGTTATGGAGAGAGAGATGTCACATTCTCAGTTAATCAGCATCAGAGGACCAAGCAGCCCCAGGAGAATACGACTCATGTTGAAGAAGTGACAGAGGCAGGTGACTCAGAGGGTGAGCAGAGTTATTTTGTGTCAACTCCAGATGAATACCCTGGGGGGCATGACAGAGATGATGGTTCCGTGTATGGGCAGATCCACATCGAGGAGGAATCCACCATCAGGTACTCTTGGCAGGATGAAATTGTGCAGGGGACTCGAAGGAGGACACAGAGGGATGATGCAGTGGGCGAGAAGGTTGTGAAGCCCTCGGATGTCCCAGCGCCCTCTCTGGAGGGGGACCTGGGTTCCACTCACTGGAAAGAACAATCTAGAAGTGGTGAATTTCATGCCGAAGCCACCGTCATTGAAAAAGAAATTAAAATACCCCATGAATTCCACACCTCCATGAAGGGCATCTCCTCCAAGGAGCCCCGGCAGCAGCTGGTGGAGGTCATCGGGCAGCTAGAGGAAACCCTTCCTGAGCGCATGAGGGAAGAGCTGGCTGCCCTCACCACTGAGGGGCAGGGTGGGCCAGGGAGTGTTTCCGTGGACGTCAAGAAGATCCAGGCTGCTGATGGTGGCTCCGTGACCCTGGTTGCTGAGGTCAACCTCTCACAAACTGTGGATGCCAATCAGTTAGACCTAGAGGAGCTGAGCAGAGATGAGGCCGGTGAGATGGAGAAAGCTGTGGAGTCAGTGGTTCGGGAGAGCCTGAGCAAGCAACGCAGACCCGTGCCTGGCAGCCCAGATGAGGCAGATGGAGCAGAGGCCCCGGGCACTGGTGTTCGCTTCAGGCGTTGGGCCACCAGGGAGCTGTACATCCCCTCAGGCAAGAGTGAGGATGCGGGCCAGTCCACTCACAGCTCGGGATGGCACAGCCCCCAGGGCCCAGTGTCGGCCACTGTGGAGGTCAGCAGCCCCACGGGCTTTTCCCAGTCACAGGTGCTGGAGGACGTGAGTCAGGCTGCAAGGCACATTACTCTCGGCCCGTCTGAGGTCTGGAGGACTGAGCGAATGTCATATGAAGGACCTACTGCGGAAGTGGTAGAGGTAAGTGAGGGAGGTGACCTAAGTCAGGCAGTGAGCCCGACCGGAGGCAGCCGGTCTGTGAGGCATGTCACGCTGGGTCCCGGTCAGAGTCCACCATCCAGAGAAGTTGTCTTCCAAGGCCCTGCCCCTGCCTCTCCGGAGGATGGGGGCTCGCCAGAGCCTGGCCCGGTCGAGTTTTCTTCAGATATGGATGGATCAGGGAGGCATAGTACGTTTGGCTCCAAACAATTTCATGCTGAAAAGGAGATTCTTTTTCAGGGCCCCATTTCTGCTGCAGGGAAGGTTGGTGATTATTTTGCAACAGAAGAGTCAGTGGGTACCCAGATTTCTGTAAGGCAACTCCAGTTAGGCCCTAGAGAAGGGTTCAGTGGGCAGATCCAGTTTACAACTCCACTTTCAGACAAGCTGGAGTTGGGTGTCAGAGGAGATTCTGTACACACGGAAGGGTTGCCAGGGAGCAGCACGTCCATCAGGCACATCAGCCTTGGGCCTCAGAGGCATCAGACCACCCAGCAGATAGTTTACCATGGGCTGCTTCCCCGACCCGGGGAATCTGGTGACTCAGAGAGCATTGTGCACAGGGAGAGCTCAGCAGATGTGCCCCAGGCCACTCATAGTCATACCGTAGGTAGAAAAACCTTTATGACTGAAAAGAGCACCTTCCAAAGTGTCATTTCGGAATCTCCTGAGGAGGATAGTGCAGGGGACATGTCAGGGGCAGAAGTGACATCGGGTATTAGCAGATCCTTTAGGCACATTCAGCTAGGTCCCACAGAAAATGAAACCTCTGAATGTGTTGTCATCCGTGGACCTGTGTCCAGAACATTAGTGCTTCCTGGTTCAGCGGCCTCCCCTGAGCTAGATGAGTTAGAAGACAGCAGAAGAACGCTTAGGCACACTGCACCAGGGCCCAAAGAAACTTCATTTACCTTTCAGATGGATGTGAGTAACGTAGAGGCCATCCGCAGCCGGACACAGGAAGCAGGAGCTCGCGGTGTGTCTGACCGTGGTGCCTGGAGAGACACGGACAGTAGGGATGATCAGGCAGTTGGCGTGAGCTTTAAAGTCTCTGCTGGGGAAGAACAGGGCAAGGAGCAGGCCATGTTTGATAAGAAGGTGCAGCTACAGAGAATGGTAGACCAAAGGTCAGTGATTTCGGATGAAAAGAAAGTTGCCCTCCTCTATCTAGACAGTGAGGAGGAGGAGAATGATGGGCATTGGTTTTAATAAGCAGAAACGTTTTGTTTTAATGGTATCCTATTGGCAACATACCAACATCCAAAGGCCTTATTTTAAGGCACAGGGAGTCTATTAAAATCTCCCGTTTTTGCTTCCTTAGAGAGTACTCCAGGCAGTGTCAATTTACATTAATCCGTAAAGATTTCCAGTTAATTCATGCCTTAAAAGACACTGCAATTTTATTTTTGAGTTGGGACTTTTACAAAACACTTTTTTTTCCCCTGGAGTCTTCTTTCCACTCCTGGAGATGATTTCTATGTTTTGCACCTGGTCACAGACATGGCTTGCATCTGTTTGAATAACAGTTAATTATAGATGTCAGAACATTAACCAGATTAAAGTAATACATTTAAGAGTCAATTTTGCTTGCATGTGCTAATATGAAATAATAAACTAACACTGTAGGGGAAAATAAATACATTTTAGACTCTTTCTAAAAAGTCTTTTCAAAAAGAAATTGTAGGAAATAGGCAGACTGTTCATGTTTAAAAAATTTTGCTAAATAAATGATTTCATCTTTAGGAAAAACTTACTTGCCATATAGAGTTAAATTTATCTTAAGACTTGAATGCATTGCTTTCTATGTACAGAACTTTTAAAAATACAGTATTTATGGAGAGGACAGCTGTAGTCTGTTATGATATTTCACATTCTGTTTGCACAGGTTCCCCTGCACTGGTAGGATAGGTGAGGATTGGGAATTGCTTACGGTACCATTTCATTTTTTGGCACTAGGTCATTAAGTAGCACACAGTCTGAACACCCTTTTTTTGTTATAGCTAAGTTCTGGCCTGGCCAGTTCCTATCAGACTATGCAGACTTGAGCTTCTCTGCATCTTAGCCCTCAGCACCCAAATGTTTCATTTCACTGGGGAGAGGTAGACCTTGAAGGCAGTGAAGAATGCTGATGCTCATACTGCAGCTGGACTGGCAAGTTGGCTGTGTGCAGGGAAACTGGAAACACATAGTGTTTCCACACAAAGTGCCCCCTAAAGAGGCCTTTCCCAGCCTTCCATTCACAGGATGCAGGTCTTTCTGAGCTCAGGGGTGAAAGATAAAAACAACCGTGAACCCACCTCACGGAAGCTTTTTTCACTTTCAACAGAAGTCGTTGCAATTGGGGTGTTTTGTCCAGAGAAACAATCTATTGAATGGAAGGATGTTTTGGGGAAGGAACTGGGTATCTCTCCTGCAGCCCAGCACTGAGATACCCAGGCATGAGAAAGGCCTCCACACTCACGGGGGGCAGAGCGTGGTCCTGTAGAGAGGCACCACTGGGTTTAAGATACTGGGATGAGCGTGCTTCATTGGATTCGTTTTATTTTACACATGGGTTTTTTTTTTTTTTTTTTTTTTTTTTTTTTTTGAGACAGAGTTTCACTCTTGTTGCCCAGGCTGGAGTACAATGGCGCGATCTCGGCTCACCGCAACCTCCACCTCCTGGGTTCAGGCAATTCTCCTGCCTCAGCCTCCTGAGTAGCTGGGATTACAGGCACGCGCCACCGTGCCCAGCTAATTTTTTTTTTGTATTTTTAGTAGAGATGGGGTTTCACTATGTTGACCAGGATGGTTTCAATCTCTTGACCTAGTGATCCACCCGCCTCGGCCTCCCAAAGTGCTGGGATTACAGGCTTGAGCCACCGTGCCCGGCCACATGTGGGTATTGTTTTTAAAGCTTCCATCTGGAAAGTGTAGCATCATATAGAAAAAGGACTGCTAGCAGCACAGCATTTTTTCAGTCCAGGCTAGCTTCTTTCACGTCATGTTGTCTCAGCTGTACTTCCTGTAACACAGTATCATAGCACTGACTAGTGCACTGAGGAGTAAAACTCTGAGGTAGCACCACTCTCAGGCAGGCGACAATGATGGCACCGGAGGGTCTTCCCTCTCAGACTCACGTGGAGGCCCTTGGACCCCCAGGGCCCACGTCTCCCCAGGTCCTGGGAGTGCCTACCGCAGGTAGTTTCTGGAGAGTGCATTTTCTTAATCGGGCAGTGGAGGAGAAATGCAGCACAGCTTTCCAATGACATTTGAAAAACACTGCGAATCAGAGTATGGAAAGGAAGTTGATTTGAATTGCAAGTTTAAACCTTTGTTGTCTATCTGCCAAATGAACTAGTAGTGATTGTCAGACTGGGATGGAGGTGACTGCTTTGTAAAGATTTGTCATTTCTGATACAAAGATGTGCTGATTTTATCTGTAACAGGTAACGGTTTTTGGATAGATGATTGGTTGGTGAGAATTTGGTTAAGGTGACAGTCTCCTGTCTGATGACCAGAAAGACTGGCAGTGAGGGGTCTAAGTCTAAGTGGGCTCAGTTTGATGTCAGTGTCTGGGCTCATGACTTGTAAATGGAAGCTGATGTGAACAGGTAATTGATGTTATGACCCGCTTGTATTTACTTTGGGAAATATCTTAGATCTTGTCATCTGCAAGCTTGGGACACAAAGCTTCGAGAAATATTCTGCCAGAAGTACATATGAGTAAGGAATCGAGCTATTGTTGGTTGCTAAATCTGTGAATCACCCAGGAATGTGCCCTTGACATTGTGACAGTTCACCCCAAAGCTCCATGTCCTTTAAAACCAGTCGCTCTGGACACAAGATAAATCACTTCATGGTTGGATGGGGCTGGAACACAACCAGTCTTTTTGTATTTATTGTTATTTAGACAAACAGTACTCACTGAATGTTTTCCAGTTTCCCACTGGTTGTTTTGCTATTGTTTGTTTAAGATGTATATTTAGAATGGCATCATCTAAGAAGCTGATTTTGCTAAATCCCTGTTCCCTACAATAGGAAATGTCACTAGAATGTGCAAAAATAAAAATCTGAGGAAAAAACCCACATTGTTCTTAAAGAGAATGAATATTTTAAGTAGATTTTTGATGTTTCCTTTAAACTCTAAATAAAGAATCTATGTGTTTACATGCATGTTTTTTGGGTAGCAGAGTATTACTGGGCTGAATATATATGAAAAGTTCCAGTTCTCTAATTCCTCAATATTGTGAGCAGAGCTAGAAAGCATGGCAGACAAAGAATAAGCCAATTGGCTTGTATTCAGATATACCCTGGACACTTTGGAGTAAACATGTCATCACAGCCTCAAAGCCTAGTGCCAGTAGGATACCACCAACTATCCCACTTGGGATGGAGAGGTTTCCTGGGATGTGGGACTCTTGAGTGCTAAATCCAGGACTGGCCTGGGCATAGTTGGTTGCCTTATAAGTGCAAACTGGAGGGTTAACCAAGAAATGGCCATGGCCGTTTCTTAGGGGCTTGAAAAAACTGAGGTAGTTTGAGACACAGGAGCAGCTAGATATCCTTACCTGTTTGTAGCCCCTTTACCAAAAATACAAAAACAAAAACACAAGTAGCTGTAGTCTTCCTCCCTTGTTGAAGTCAACAGAATTAACAGATGGGAGACATTGGAGGGAGCATTCCTAAATTCATGCTTTCCTGGGGTGGGGGGGGGTGGCGCTAAATTTAAAAAATGTGTTTTAGCTTTTGTGATTCCAAGATACCTTTCAAGAAATACGGAAAGGAAGAAGTAACATCAGGATGCACATTTATTAAAAAACCCAGCATGGACTCTCAGTTCAGGCTGCTCTAACAGGGAGCCATAACCTGAGAGACATTTATTTCTTACAGTTCTGGAGGCTGGGAAGTCTCAAGGTGCCAACAGATTCGCTTCCCGGTGAGGGCTCTCTTCCTGGCCTGCAGATGGCTGCCTTCTTTCTGTGTCCTCACACGGTGGAGAGAGAGATCATCTCTCTTGTGTCTCTTCTTATAAAGCACTAATCATACTCATCAGGGCTCCACTCTCATGACCTAATCACCTCTCCAAGGCCCCACCTCCTAATATCATCCCTTTGGGGATTAGGGCTTCAACATGAACTGGAGGCACACAAACATTCAGCCCATAGCAGACTCCGCCCGTGTCAACTTAGATAGGACACATGATGAGTAGTGACCACATCTTACACCTTTTTAGCACACTGCTGATGTCCTGCAGGCCCAGGATCTGGGACCAGCATGTACCAGCAAGGATGGTCTGTAGGGTCAGGTGTCACGCTTCTGAGGAAGACATGGAGCCTGCTTTTTTCTACCCTGTTGTGACTCTATTGAGTTTATTTTCCCCCTCAATTCTTGAGGTGGGGCCCTGCACAGATGGCCCCAGGATGGTTTAGATGTCCCAGAGGGAGCTGGAGGGACAGCCCCCTGTGCTGCAATCTGCTGCCATCCTAGTACCAGCCTACAGCCTCACTGGCCACCGTCTGTGGGATGAGGGGAGGGAAGAGAAGGGACGGCATTGCCCACACCTGCATCCCTACTTCTGGGTGCTCCATCCATCTCAATCTGGCACTGGATCTCATCTTTGACATTGTGGAAAACATGCTCAAATCTTCCTGTTAGACTTGGCCAGCCTCACATGACTAAGGCCTCCCTCCAGGGAGCTGAAGACTTCTGTGCACACGACAGTGTGTCAACTCAGGAAGCAGCTCCAGGTGGCATCCGGATTTGTCCTGCCTGGAGTAGAGGCCAGACAGGATGTGAAGCAGCAGGGAATCAGTGCCACCCCCCTGCAGCGTCCTGCTGGCCTTTCTTTTCAGTCCCTTACACCTGCCTCCTGGCCCAGGCTTAGTTAGGTGCACCGAGTCCGGTGCATTGGCCTCCTGCCCCTCCCACTCTGCTCTTTTGCTCTCACGGGTGCTGCCCCTGCTGCCTACCAATCCCACAGCACTAATTCCTGGTGCTGTGCCGGGCTGTGACTGTCTTGTCTATTGCCGTGCCCCCCGTTCTTAGCACATGCCACGTACATACCAGGTGCTCGACACAGTTCAAAGAGTGACCAAGGACACACATAAAGGGAGCTGTCTCTGACCCCCTTTCAGGCTCCAAGGAACTCTGAGGCAGGCTGCACTTTGAAAACACATGCCGATACCAGCGCATTAGAGTTTCCCTTTATTAGCATTTTCTTCCCATGTTATTCTTGATCCCTGTTAACCTCCTATGAGAAAGGGCTTCTTCCTGAGTTTAGTGTTCCAGATCTGACTCCAGACCTATGCAAGGATTTGTGTGTACCAGTAGATCCAGGCTGACTCCTGCAGAGGCCGCTCTGAACTTCTGAAGAGAGGTTTCAGCCACAGTAGTGCTGATGGCCAAAAATTCTTGTTGGCAAGAAAAAACACTTAGGTGATTAAAAGAAAAATGCTTTCTAGCATATATCACCCTGAAGGGCATCCACTGTTCACAGTGTGGCCCACAGGAGGCTTTTGGTCTCACTGTTGCATGTTGGAGCCAACAGTTGGCCTTGAAAGTCTGTATCCTGACTATTGAATTCCATCTTCTAGGTGGAGACAGATGTGTACAGCACCCTGATTGGCAGTGCCCAGGAATGTCCTAGGCTTTTTCAGGGTGGGGGCCTCAGTCTGCTGCTGTGCTGGGCCGGGCCTTCCTCAGCATGGTGTCCTGAGGGATGCTGGTGCAGAAGGCCACTTTGCCTTTTGATGCCTGCCTTGGCTTCACAGCAATCTCGGGAGCCCTGCAGACAAGCAGAGGGTGGGGTGAGTGTGGTGCCCCTCAGCCCCCACACTGTTCCCATCCAGCCGTTGCTGCCCAGCAGGTCCAGACCCATCTAGGAGAAGCCTCAGGAGGGGCTATAAATGAGAGGATAATTGTGGCATGAGAGCATAGAACATTAGATGTTTTATTCCCATGTTTTATTTTTTATTAATTTTTTTTTCAGACGAGTATCACTCTGTCACCCAAGCTGGAGTACAGGGGCCCAGTCTCAGCTCCCTGCAACCTTCACCTCCTGGGTTCAAGTGATTCTCCTGCCTGCGCCTCCTGAGTAGCTGGGATTAGGCACATGTCACCTTGCCTGGCTGATTTTTGTATTTTTAGTAGAGACGAGGTTTTGCTGTGTTGGCTAGTCTGATCTCAAACTCCTGGCCTCAAGTGATCCACTGCCTCGGCCTCCCAAAGTGCTGTGATTACAGGCATGAGCCACCTCACCTGGCCCCTCCCATCTTTTAAAATCCCCTGTGACCATCCTCACTGAGCTGAGGCAGTCAATCCTTAGCTGGCTTGGTGAGGAGGCCATGGGTGAGAAGGATGGTCAGGGCTGGGCAGGAGGCCTCCCTGGCTCACCTTCCTGTCCTCAAAGGGTATGTTGCCCTGCTGGCCACGTTCAGTCTCTGCTGCAGGCTGTGGCCCTGTTTCCTTGAGCATAGACTCAGGTAGCCCTAGGGATGCTCCCTGTGGACCAGGCTTTGTGAGGTGGGCCCTCCACAGGAGATTGCTGGGCCTCTGCTGAGGCTCAGAAAGAACATGGGGGGCAGCCTTCAAGGTCAAGTCAGTGAACTCTCCAGCTCCAGTTCTGACAGGCATCCGAGGGCAGAGGGAAGCTGGAAACAGGGCTGCAGGAGGCCACAGGAGTTCTGGGGCCCACCCCCTGCAGCGGGTGCCTTAGCCTGCAAGGGGCTGTCTGCAGGAGGACAACATCCAGCATATATTTCTGACTTAAAGGACAAATTATTTCTAAATACCTGGGCAGAACCATAGAACCTTCTAGAAGCAGCTTCCTCTTGAGATTCTGAATGGAAAGGGAATGCGATACGCAGAGAAAGTGTGAGGGAAGCCAACTCACGTGGACAGGATGCCCATGGCCTGCTGGGTGGCCAGAGTCTTTTTGTCCTGCGGTCCATACAAGAAAGTCTGGATCTGGAGACACTGTAGAACACCAAGCAGCAATCATGAGGCTACAGAAATGTCGCTGAGAGCAGGAAAATACAGTCTCCCTTGAACAAGAGAAAGATCACTTCATTCTTAGACCCTGCTCTGATGGAATTAGCATGTTCTAGTGACAGTCTGACCTTCGATTTGGATGTTCTGAGTGTTCTAGGCAAAAACATACAGTTTTAGCACTGTTTCAAAAACCTCTGTGACTATCTGTATGCAAAAAATATATTTAAAAGTTGTATTTTTAAAAAAAAAGGCAAGAACCTTGGTACTGACCAGTGGATGGGCTCCAGTTTCTATTTTTAAATGGTCCTTGCTATAGCCTGGAAAAGATTTTTACAAAATGCTTTTGTTTTTTATAAACACATACTCTACTTTTATTAATATAGGGGCTTTCTATACTTTTTACTACACAGAAATGTCTTAGTTATGAGGAGGCAAATATTCAGCTTATGGATTATCCAGGGCTGGCTTTGGCTTGCTTTTTCTTTTCTGCTTACTTGAAGTCTTGCCATTCGATTACTTGTACTAGGCTAGAGCAAACTCAAGGAGAGGAGAAAGATTAAAGGTGTGCCAAAAATGGCCAAAATAGTTTTGAGAAAGAGTGAGGTGGAGGAACTTGCTTTACTGGATGCCAAGACCCTTTTTTTAAAAAACTAAAGTGATTAAGACAGCATGATTTTCACCCAGAGACCAGTGGAACACAGCGGACAGCCCAAGCCTTGACAATGACGGAACTGGCCTTGCAGGACGGGTCAGGAAGAGGTGGGCAGGTCAATAAATGGTACTGGGACCTCTGGTTTTCCAAATGGAGGAAAGTGAATTGCTACCAGAAACCAAACACAAAAATGAAGCCCAGAAAGATTTAAAGGACTAAATGTGAAATAGAAAACTTGGAGATTTTAGATGAAAATACTGGAATATTATTATTATTATTTTTTTTTTTTGAGACAGAGTCTTACTCTGTCGCCCAGGCTGGTGTGCAGTGGCATCATCTTGACTCACTGTAACCACTGTCTCCTGGGTTCAAGAGATTTTCCTGCCTCAGCCTCCCGAGTAGCTGGGATTACAGGTGCCTGCCACCATGCCCAGCTAATTTTTGTGTTTTTAGTAGAGATGAGGTTTCACCATGTTGGCCAGGCTGGTCTTGAACTCCTGACAGCAGGTAGTCCACCTGCCTTGGCTTCCCAAAGTGCTGGATTACAGGACTGAGCCACCATGCCCAACTGGAGAGTATCTTTTTGATCCTGAGGTAGAGAAGTATTTCTTAGACAAGATCTGGACAAAGAAAAAGTGAAAGACTGAGAAAATGTAACTATATGAAAACCCAGGCTGGGTGCAGTGGCTCACACCTGTAATCACAGCACTTTGGGAGGCTGAGGTAGGTGGATAATGTGGTCAGGAGATCGAGACCATCCTGGCTTAACATGGTGAAACCCCATCTCTACTAAAAATACAAAAACACACACACACACACACACACACACACACACACACACACAAACAAAAAAACCTAAAATGTCTGTGCACCAAAATTCACCATAAGCAAAGTAGAAAGACAAACCATGTTGAGGAAAGATCCTTGCAGTGCACAGAAATGAGAAAGGTTTAACATTCAGAATTTATAAAGAATTCCTATAAGGTAATGAGAAATACCAAACCAAACCAAAACTGCTCAATAGAATACTAGTCCAAAGATAGAAACAGATTATTCAAAGAGTTGAAATATGGTAAACATGCTTGATCTCATTAATAACCATAAATACAAACTAAAACTTCAATGAGGTAGGTACCACTTCACCCATCAGACTGCAAAAACCACCAAGCTTTGTTAAAATACAAATCCACAAGAATTCTTTTACATACTGATAGTGGGTATTCAAACTGGTATAGCCTCTTTGTGAAAAATTTAGTAATGAATATGGAAACTGTGATATATACATATCATATGTATACGATATATAAATGTTTGATATATGTATGTGTGTTTATAACCACACAGATGAATCTCATGATTACAAAGTCAAGGAGAAAAGAAAACTGCAGATGAATGCATATAATATATATTATAATTTATGTAAAGTTTTAAAACATGCAGAACAAAGCCATAGTAAAATAAGAGCATGGGAATGATGCAAATTCAGAAAAGTAGCTATCTGGGGATTGGCAAGTATACAGGGACTTCAACTGAATGGGTCAGGTTTTATTTCTTATATTGAATAGTGAGTTCCAAGGTCTTTGCTATGTTATCCATACTTTTCTGCATATCTGAAATATTTCATAATACATCTTTAAAAGATTGAATGAATTGTTGTACATGGTAATAGCTTGAGTAAAAAAAAGTGTGAGGGTTTGGGGACTTACTACTGAAGGCTGTTTATTCATCTGATCTGCCAACCATTTTTAGGTCTTCAAGAAAATTAAAATATAGGCAGCCAAATGCCTTTGTCTTTACAAGCTGTGGAAAATATAAAAACTGTCTGCATGTTTCAGGCCAAGGAATTCAGAATGTGATTTTCAAACTGAGAATGTGGTTGTCCTTTGAAAAAAGGAACTATCAGATGAGAATATGATAGGATTTTTAAAATAACAAAATATTCACTATTTCTTAGTCATCTGACTAAGAAATATACAGTATCAAGAAGTAGTAAACTCTATTATTTTATTCAATGCATAATTCAAATTCTACAAAGGCAAGATCCCTGTCCCTCTGTCAACAAGCCCTTGACTTTCTCAATCTGCACAGGGGCCTTGGCCTGGCCTAGGCAACGGGCTGAACTGCTCATTCCATGGGACTGAGCCAGCGTTGCTTTAATGCTTTAGGTTGTTGTGACCCTAGAAATTTATGAACTTTGACAAAGCTCTGTTGCTTTGAGGGGAGGGGACAGGGACATGTTTTTGACACCCATGGTACCTGATGTAAACCCTTCCAGCACCCTGCTTGGGTTACAGCTATTGGAAGCCTAGGCACACTGGGCCTGGCAGAGGAGGAGGTGCTCAGCAAGGGCCAGAAAGCAAGAGAGGCAAGATGCTTCCCCCCACTGCTGCCCATCAGCGAGAGGCCCCTCTCTCCAGGGTTAACACTTCTTACCAGAATAGACTTCATTTCGCCCAGAAATAACTTCACTCAGTGTAAAAGATCAGGGCTGGTTTTAAAGCCACCCAGACGTCCCTGTGTTTATATATTTATGAGTGCCTCCGATGCAGCACATTTTGAGAGGTGATGTTGTCACTGCTTGTCGTTAATTCATTCACTGTGGCATTAGAGTTTTACTGACACTGTAACAGTTAGTTGAGACTGAGGTCTCAGTTCACTCTGCCTTAACAGACTGCCTTCAAAATCTAATACTCGGGAGGAATTTCCATCCTACCCCTTTGGTGACTGAAGTTGCCTCTCCTTGGCCCCTCATTCTCTAGGGAAATAAATATCCCATTGGCTGAATATTCTCAAATCCCCAGGAAGAATGAGAAGGCAATTGGCAGTGCTTATGCAAATTCTCAGTGGGTCTACTAACCACGCCCACTTGTTACAAAGCTGTGTACTGATCATTTTCACTACTATGTTAGTAGAGAGAGTAGAGTTAGGAGGGAAGATTGTGGTTGGGTCAAGAGATCCTTTTCAGTAATCAAGCCCTGGAGAGGGGAGCCCCATCCCTACCCTACCCCTAGCCCTTGGTCAAACTCTTCTCTTCCTGGTATCAATAGCCTGGTATTAAGTAACCCTAAGGTTACTTATCCTTACTAAGAAGATTTGCCCAAAATTCCAGGTGAAGTGAAAAGAGATGCAAAGCGGTGTCAACTAGGAGCCAGAAACAGATCCTCACTCAGCCCCTCGCTAATCTCTTGTGTGATTGCAGTGCAAGAGCAGGCACCAGAGCTGGAAAAAATGGTCATCCATTTACTGAACTACTCTTCGAAAGACAGCTTTTTACAACAGCAAACAACCCATTACGGACTTGTACTAGAAAATTTTTTATAAAGCTATATATTTATCTAAGAAACATAAATTGAGATTTTCGTTCTGCTGCTCTTATCTAAATTTACTTAAGCATTTTTGTGTGAAGTAGGTGTGTTGATTCTTTTGTTAAAAACAGAGGCATTGACAGAGAGGAAGTGAATAAATGCTAATTGAACCTGCTGGAGCCAGGCACTGTAAATATCCAGCTGAGTTAAGTAAAGAAGTCGCCAAACCTAGACAGAAGAACATTCTCCACCATAAACAAAGGTATTCCGTGCTCCCATGCTCCCCAGATTCTTCTGAGAGGCAGATATCCTCCTTCTTGAAATCAACCACTAAGGGGTGTTTCTAACTTTTCTTTAAAGTGAACAATAAACTGAACTCCTGAGTGTCCAGATGAATTTTAGGAGCCATTACATTGCTATTTTTCTCTTTGATTTTATATGCAGGGTTGTGAGAAGTCACTTGTGTTTGTATTATTCCTTAAATATCAAACAGGGAGCTTTTCTTTCCCTTGCAGGAAAACAAAAGGGAATGTCTGCTTTCATACCAGCCCGCAGGCTGTCCCCAGATGGGGCCGTGTCTGTCTTGCACAGACCCTGGCACACAAGCATGTAACAGCTGCTCAGTGAGTGAATGGTGAACTAGGACAGACACGTAAGCTGGGAAATTCTTACATGCGGCCTTTAGACTCCTGACGACACAGCTGGACCCTAGGGCTGCAGTGACTCATCAGGTACTAAAACCTCTGCTAGGGAAGTTCCATTGTGGGAGTGGTGTTAAAAACTCGAAATTACAGTCCAGGCTTCAACAGGAGAAAGACTGCTGCTCACTATTTGCTGCTTTCTCCTAGGAATCATTTGGAAAGAGACAATCTAAAGCATTTGATGCAAACTTTCAGAATTATTTTTGACATGACTTTGAGGTTTGAAAGCTAGGATTCTAAGGAGCCCGGGAGCCAAGAAAAGTGATAGGTGCCATCAGTTAGCCATCTTCCTAGCTGTGGGTGCCTCTGAGCTAACACCCTTCCCAC